TGGCACCCCCTTACTGCTGTTGCTTCTGTTACGGTAACTCACAGCTATTCCACGGCTGATTCTCTCCAAATGGAAACATATAACAAGTCATTTAGAGTCTCGTACGTACGACATAGATCGGGGACGCTTGGCTAACAGGAAGGGAATGCGGCAATGACAAAGGAATGACGGAACAACAACAACAAGGAAAAAGGAGGTCGTCCTCATCGCACCGTAGCATCGAAGGGGTAGCAGTGCACAAAGTGGGATCGAACACTGGGGAGGGGGCTAAGAATCATACCGAACATACATCGTAAAGCGACTAACATAGGCAGCAGAACAACGACGACAACACATAGTCTCGTTCTTGGGCTCGCTGATGGCGAGTGTCGGCTTGAAGTTAGGTTTCCTGCTTTACTGATGCATTGGCCCATGTCTGAGTCGTTGTAATGTCCGCGCTGGAGTTAGGCGGCGGGTGTAGACATGAATGTCCTGGATATGCTTGCGGTAGAGTCGGGCCACTTAGGATGATGGCGGGAAAACGCCATTGAGAAAAGGGAAAACCGAGTGAAGATTGCTTTGCTGTCATGATCCGCATGGTTCATATAACAGACACTCGACGGCAGAGGACACACTGAATCGGGATAATAACAACGATCATTGGATTTGCAACTTCTCTGTAGTGTGTTTGTTAGGCGTGCGGTTCTTACGAGATGAATATGCTCAGCACGCCCACTGCTGCTACGAAAAAGGGGGTTACTGACGCATCGACCACACAGCAGAGTAAAGAAACATAAAGGCAAAACACAAATTAATATAAGTGCGCCCCTGTGTCGAACACCAATCATTGGCGTTGATACGTCGACTATACTATTTTGACCTGTTAATGCTAGAAAATAGAGAACGTTTCATACTGCATTATAATGGTACAGCTTTGATTTTGTAAAGGGCACAGCAGGTATGATAGTGGAAGAATAAGCGGAATGATATTCACGTCTATATTAAATGTAACAGTTTTTCTGTTTGAGAGGTATCAAAGACGCGTAATTATCTACTGGAATAAGAATCATTGTTTAAATGAACCTTTCGTGTTAGCTCAACGAATAGCCGTCTTGAGATGCAATACTGGTCGTAAATGGTGAGATTATATTCTATTAATTAGATGGAAAAAGTTTAAAATTGAAGTGTAATAACTTAGGTGACCGAAAGATACAATCTCGAAGAGAACATCACCGAGATATGTTCAAATTTCGCAGAGTTTATGCGAAACAGCGTAACTGCTTATGTTTTGTAGTTATTAACAGGATCAATCTTGTTTTTACTGTGACCGTATACATCTGGTAAAGCAAGATCGCATGAGCCAAGTTAAATAGGATGCCTTTTCACAGGCGTTTGACAGAAGGTCGACGTAAACGGCTACAATGAATTATCGACGCAAAAGGTGCCTTTTCATTGTATTTTAACCTAGTTTGCTAATTCACCATATCCTTATCGATGCTATTAATTTCGCCTATGGACTACATGAACATCTCAGCCAGGAAGCCGTTGATTGAGAAGCTCCTCGTTTCTTGTTCCTAGGACGAGAGTTTCATAAGGAAAAACGCAATGCTATATCCTCTATATGAATAGAGATGAAAATATTTGGGGAACACCAGCGAAGTTAGCCACAGCTATTGCGCATGACTTGTGTGCCCATATAGCCGTTATTCAATTCTGACAACCAGAGAATTCTTAGTTGTAGAAAAAGCCTGATATCAGTCCCGATGTCACGTTTCAGGATTTCTAGAAAGACCGTGCTGTACAGACGCTGCGCGAGATAAAATCGTGAGCGTTTGATCAAAATAAACCCGGCTTTTCTGTTTTACGCTAAAGATTTTGAGTGCAATGAAACCTGCCAAATGTATGGCACTGAAATAAGCCGTGCCGCCTAAGCCCGCTCAAAATTACATGCGTACTAAACCACGTTCATGAATTTAAGGCATTAAGCAATATCTAGGCTATTTAACATATAGTCACAATGCATGAACAACAGGGATATATGGGCGTAGCCATGTGTGCCTAGCTTTTACCGCTCAATTCAGTCAAAATACACCGAGAACATGAAAAGTTTATCAGACGACCATGTCCTATGTACGTTTTGTTTTTTTGTACTTACACGGTGTGCTGTAAACAATGGCTACTGACATCGAATTGCTCATTTGTTAATTAGTTAATGTATAATATGTTCGTCTTTAAATTGCGCTTGGTTATTGAAATTATTGGTTATTATTATATAGGAAATTTGACGCGAGCAGATCATACGTATTATGTTACTAAACTTATTAGTCTACGTTTAGATAAATTCGATCTTGTCGAGGAAGATCCTTTAGGGCTTGTCTGACCCGGATACTGCCTGTCTCGATTTCATGCTACCTCCTACCAGTACAGCAGACACATGCGTACGATAGCCTCGTTTATTCTTCCGGCAGGGGGTCACATCTTCCTCTCTAAGACGTTGTAAGAAACTGTGCCGGCGGCTTTATAGATACACGTTATGAGCGTGTATACACAGACAGACCGGTTTTCTGGTCGCCTGTTTCAGCAGCCCAATAAAGGTCCGTGGGGTCGTTTTTCTTCTCTCCGCATCATCTAGGACTTGTGTAGAAATCCGACGGAAGTTTATCCCTTTTACCCCTCCCTTTCGGTCCTAATCTGACACACGCACCAAATAGTCGATCTTGAATGGGTAATTTACAGCGCCAGTAGGACAAAGCCAATGGTAGACGTGACAGGTCTAAGGACGAGTCCTAGGCACGCGAAAGGGCAGGGAAACCATGCGACAACTATTATGTTTGGTTATGTTAAAGTTCGGTTGAAGTTAATGCCGCAACGACACAAAATAGCTGGCCCGAAAAAAAAGATGGTTGCATGGCTAGTCCATAGGACGTATCTTGTTGCGTTGTTTTTCTGTATTATTCTTGTAAGAAAAATTCGTTAAATACAGAAGAAAATCAAATCGCACACAATTTACTTACGAAGTAGTCGTGCGAATACTATCAACTAGTCCTGTCAAAAGATCGACCATTGTGCCCGAGTGGAATAGTCACGTAAAAGCGGTGATATCACGCAAGTCCGTTACAATGTACGATTGCGGATATAACATTAGGATGTAAACGAGCATTTCGTTTCAGCCTGACTATTTGAATTTTTCTTTAGTATATGCGTTCAAGTTTTCAACATTATCACTGTTTAAGTTGAAGTATCGTTGCACTGTCACTGTTTTTGATCGAATCGCTGCTACACGGCATATTTGATGTCGTCAATAGTTATGGTATACAGGGTGCCATTTAAATTTTAGAGAGCAGTTTATGATAGCGGGTACGGATCCGTTGACAGAAGAAGCTCAGTATATATAGATATACATCGGTCGTTTGTGCGAATTCGAAATCCGTGCGCGGCAAACTAACAATCGCCCAATATATTAGGGCTGCACATGTCTAAGTCGCAAGATTCAGACTTCGTTCGTTGATTTGATTTGCCAGTTTCCCAAGTCAACAAAAAATTTCCAGCCAACAGAAACATTTAGAGGAGCCGCATTTAATAATACCTTTCCGACTCCGTTCTCGGAACATACCCGCGGAGCATTCTTTTACAGCTTCATTTTGTTCGATTCGGTGCATAATAATAGAATTTGTCGCGTAACATACGTTGTGGCGAAGCCTCAATCAATACCCCATGCTAATTTTCACACCATTAGTAATGATGAGTAAATTGTTGCAGTTTTATCATTTATTCATAACCTATAGCTGAATCGTGTACGTTATCGTACACTCCGAAAATCACATTTCAGCGAAATTTCATTGATCCTACTAAATCTCTTGGCCAGGAACTTAGCCCTATTAGAGAGTACACCCAGATATCTATCATTGATGAGTTTATCTCCCCTGGGATGTTATAGCATTCTCGATACCGGTGTGGAAACGCAAGTTAAGCAAATTATCGTGTTTATGCTATTTTTACGAGTAAAATTAGCTAATGGCACGATGGTTTTATTTGTTGAAATTTTCATTTTTGATTTTTTAACTTGAGCCCAAAAATTTGCTGCTTAGCCATATCACATTAGCCTGCCAATGCTAGTACACTACAATTTATTACTTATATTCGATCAGCGGGTCGATCCGCCCCGATTTAGGTTGTACGAACCATTCGCCCGATGCGTTGCCCAATCTGTTTCAAAGAGTAAAATTTCCGAACAAAACTACTATTATGGTTACGACTTTACAATCTCTCACCCGGCTAATCCATATGTCGAATCGCAGTACACGTTGAAATCGTCATCTAACCTACGTGTATACTCCTGAGATGATCCTTGACCATACATGTCAACATAGTTGTTTGTTTAGTGTTCTTCAAACGTTTGACAACATTGTATTTTAAGAACGCTGAAACTTACCAGCTCCGATGCAGCGCATGCAAAATGCTACGGATCAGGTTTTAAAATATTATAGAAAATACACAAGCTAATCAAGCATAAAAAAAAACAAAATAGTCATAGCTGCAAATCTTAACTAGTCCGTCATAACTGTAGCTAAAACGAAGTTTAAACTTTAAACAATAATTTTATAAAAATTCGTTTTCTTCAGGAAACGCTAGTGAATAGTCTTATATTGGTTGGAAAGTGAGAGTTCCGCCGACCACGCATATTATACAACTCGCATGAAAAATGAACGCTATTCGTAGAACCTATTTCGTATTCCCACCGAGAGTTCCTCACCAAATAAATAGATCGTACCGCTCATTTATAATATCGCCTATTTTAAATGGACTTATATAGAATATTAATTGAGTCCATAGTAAAAATATAGTTAATATTCTATATGAAAATGAACTGTTAGAAAAATACAGTACTATAAATTTTAGAGATAAGTTGATGTACTTTATTATTTTCAAAGAATATTTAGATACATCTTTTATAACTTATTATTATATATCCACATTTGAATGTGGACATGTATTTGTAGGAAATATTCCGTAGGTCGAAAAGGATATTCTAGGTGATATAGGAACTTCCTTAAACTTATCCTTAAGCTTTTCTCTAAAACGTGATACATGCAAAACGTTTGATCGGTTTCGATAATTTAACTGATGATGATTAGCATTAGGCCACGAGATTACTGTTTTTTAATAAGATGGCGCACATTGGTCAATGGACAAAGGTCTCTTTCTTGGAAGAAAATCTTTCATAAAAAAACTTTATTATGAAATCACCTTAGGTCGCATGAGAGGAACTTTCCTACGTGGCTACACTTTTCGCCCGGCAGCAGTTTAGTCAGTATTTGCACAAACCTTCAAAGCGCCTTGCAGCCTCAATGGAATCACTTCGCACCACACAGCATATACCTTGATAACTTGGTACTGCTGCACTGGGAACGTGGTTTCTTGCTACTATGGGTTCTTTTATAGGCCCCTTTTTTAATGACTAACACGCCACGTGCTTTATCTGTGCGTTGACTCTTCGTTTTCATTCATTAGTATTCGCGTTTGCAGTGACTTCGGAATGACTTACTTTCGGCTTTGGCAACAAACGTTCAGTGAACGCCTTCGCAAGAGCTGTGACAGGGCATGCAAGGGGCGTCGACAGTGACGCTACAAGCTCAGTTGATTGAGCTACCGCGGGCGGCTTTGGGGACACTGCTGAGGATGACGGAACCAAGCTTAGCGCAGGTGGTTGTGTTGGTGTGAGCATGGATACTTGAGCGAGAACTGCCGATGACGTCTGAATTGAAGTTGACATAGGGACATGGCTTGGAGATATAGCGGGTTGATTATTTAGGGCCGAAACGGCCGGTTTCGGAGGGGGCGACACCAATGGCTTCAGAGGCAGTGAAGCGGGCAGATTTAGCTTTTGAGATAATGTTACGGGCGGTTTCAGATAAGACGTCACAGTCGGTTTCTGGGGAGACGTCACGGCCGATTTCGAAGGACAGATCTCAGAAAGCTTCTCTGAGGTTATGTCAAGCGCTTGATAATCAGGTTGTCCAACGGAATGGACAGCTGCGGTCGTTTGTGGTGATGACGCCGCGGGAGCGTGCAGAGAAGCAGTTGCAGTTTGAATGGAACTTGTAGCTTCAAGCGATGATTGCGCTTGCATAACTAAAGCCGAAGCTGGGATTTGCGTAGGTTCTACTATAGAACGCTGTATTGAAGTTACGAGAGTACGCTCTTGAATCGGAATCACCGTAGGTGCTTGAGTTGAAAGCGCTGTAGGAACTTTCACTGTGGTTACGACAGTAACCGGCGCCTGCACAGAGGACTGTCTGATCGTCGCCACGGGCTCCGTGCACAGAATTTCAAGACTGTTGCCATCAGAGGTAGCTTCCGTCCCATTCTTGCAACCGTCTGCCACAATTATCTCAGCCACTAACGGTGTTGACTTTTGATCACTCCTGTCAGCGACACAGAGGAGTTCGGTGCTAGGTGGTAAAGACAATACTTCGTTTGAGCCAATAGAGACCTTGCCATTGGTTTCACCGACGTCTTGGTTTTCTACGCTTTTCAAATTCTGTCCGACGTCGTCACCCGATGAGGTGTCTTGCATTTCATTCGATTTGCGATGAGTTCCCTTGACCTTACGTGATGTGCTTTTGCGCCCAGTGCTCTCTTTGACTCCCGATGTCGGATTAACGCTATCTCTCAGATGCGCCCGAGTTTTCGATTTGGCCTCGTTCGAATTTCGTCGATCGCATTTGGTGTCCGGCTCCTCGTTAATGCTAGCCAGGAATTGTTCGTCATCGGCAAATTTGACAATGCGAGGACGTCTTTCCCGACGTTTCTCACCACGACTTGATACTTCCACATAACTAATTAGATAATACCCCACGGTACATTTAGGAAAACACGCAAGATGTTATAGAAAAATTCGTATTAATTTTGAGTGCTATAGAATCTGACTAGAGTATTTAGAAACCAAATGTTCCAGAACAATTCATGCTCTTATTTTACGTCCTCAGTCATCTAGTAGAACGTTTTCAAAGTTTAGGAAACTATGTAGACTAGGACTAGATTTTAAAACAACACTGGGCATAATCAGTGTCCTTCTTTCTCTATGAAAATAAGCTTGCAACGTAACACTATTTTAACAGGACCTAAAAGTTTGACAAAGACCGAAAAAATGTTCCGTCTATATTTCGAAAACAAACCTTTCCCGTGCCCCTACAGATGCGACTGAACCGGCGCTTGAGGATGCGCCTGCCCGTGGCGAACCTTTTGAGTTGCTCGGTGAGTACGTAATCCCCCCGCCTCGTGGAATAGTGAAACGTCTTTCGCGACTAGCAGGCGGCTGGTACTTACTTCCGGTATTCACAGTAAACACAAACGAGTTCCGATCATTCGTGGTCTGACGACTTTTAGGTCGCCGATCGTCCGTTAGTCGACCTACTGATTGACGCACAGATCTACGCTCCGATCGCCAGTCATCTGGATAGCTTCGATTCGTCCTGTTTCTTTCCTTATAGATGTCCTTAGTAAAATTACTTGGCGGGGCGTAGTCGTTGTTTCGTTTAAGTAGATCCCTCCCGACGGCGAGGGTCTCCTTACGCGACTGATCCCGACGAGAGTCACCGACCCACAATCGGCCGAAATGTTGGCTAAACGTTGTACATCAGAAACGAATAACAGCGGGCACTACCCTTACATTAAATGATTATACGTCAGGAGTTTTACTGGTAAAATAGAAAATGGTTTTTAATTCATTTGTTGTTTAGTGCCCTTCATAAACGTGCTTCGTTTTTTTTCGATTGTAATGCAACGGTGTGTTATATATAATGTATATATATTTCCAACAGTTAATGACCACTGTGGCGTCATTGGCGTCAAGGCTACACCAGTTCGGTTATCCTATATCGAAATCTCCATAGCATCGCTATCACAATAGCTGTGCGAGAGCTTTTTATAGGTATCGCGACTGAGTTCCTTGCTTACGTTGAACTAAATAATGTACTGAAGTATTACTGAACGAGCAAAAATAAGAATTGACCGCATTTATCCTTATAAGTTAGTTTTGAATGACTTATAAATGGGACAAGGTTGTTGCTTCACGAACTTTCCATTGGAAACGGTTGCTGGGCAAGTAACGTATTTCAGAATGACGTGTTCTCTATGAATTGCCTAAAGTGTTATGAGATGCCGTATCTGAACGATTGTCGCCTTAAAAAGTATTGCTAAGACAAATTATTTCTGAAATACCTGTTTGGAAGAAAGTACATGCGGCCATCAACGCGAACTCCACGAAATTTGTCTTTGCTATATTTGAGATGTATGGGCACTATCGACAGATCCTCAGGTATGAATAAATGGTCGAGAGATGACGCTCGAAGTGCCCCACATCGGCAATATTGAGCAGTGGGCATTGAGCGGCGTTCGCTTGCCGCCGCTTCACAAGAAACGTCTTCCTTAACACAGCAACACCGGCCTCCATGCTCAAGTGACGAGCCGTCTCCAAGACGCAATGGTGCATGGCTACGATGAGAGCCATATCCGCGACAAGACATTGTGTCGCAAGCGGGTCGCTGTTTAAGCGTCGACTTAGCAGGCACAACCAGGGATGTTCCACTAGACCTTAATTCAGAACAGTCGGCGCTTCGTTTGCACTTGGCAACAACCACGGAACGTATATTCGAAAAAATAGATGGCACCTGTGTGTGTGTGCTCACTCTCGCCAGGCGATTTGCTTAGGGGCTATGGCGACCAGTGATTTCAATTACGATTTGTCGCTATACTTTAGAAATCCTATACAAAGCCAAAATGGTTGCAGAAGCGATTCGTTGATGACCAATAGTTGTATCAGGAGAGTGAAGCAGAATAATATAGCGATGTTAAAATATACCCCGATAACCCTGGCTATCGGTTAGAAACAGTTTATATTATTGTCCAGCGTTTGTCGTCCAAATGACCGATCTTCGGATGATGTCAGTTCAATCTACCTCGGAGTATACTCGCTACTACAAGTTCAGAAACGAGGCTAAGTTTGGTATTCGGAAATCGTCCAAATAAAATATAATGTTTGCATATTAACTTCATGGATAGCTTCCGAAGTGCAAAGCGTTAGAAAAAATGTTTCGAAAAGTGCACCGGATTTATGTATAAAACAAATGTGGTCAATCGTTTAACAGCGGCCTTATCAGTGACTTAGGAGGGAAATTTTTAGTATTTTTCGGCATTTTTTTTTTCATTCATCCAAGCCGACTACGTATGAGTTATTAGTTATGATATAAATATAGGTTAAAAGCTCCGCTGCCAATGAAAAAATCGTATCATCTGAAGAAGCCCTCCGACTGATCGAGGTGACGATACCTGAAGAATGCTGCCGGTAGTATCAGCGATTGTGATGCATTGACTTGAAGATTGTAAATTTATAAAGATCATTCCTGATACTCCCTTGTGGAGGTATTTTAGTATAACCGCTATTTTAGTAATACAGCTAAGCAGATTAAATAGCAGTATTCTGCTATTTATGACTATTATGAAAAGAAAAAACAAATCAGCTATAAAGTTGATTACGAACACCATTTTTTCCGTATTCTCTCTAGCGTGTGATATTCTACTCTATGGTTTTATTTTGAACTAAAGGTTACTGAAGTAATTGAACATGATCTACCGTTAAGCGACATTTAAAGTACCGATAGTAGCCATTATCCAATGAATGTTATTTTCGTCCAACTTCGTATTCTATACGAAAAGCGCTGATTTAGTACCTCAATTCATTGAAAGCAAGTCCTTATCAATTGCGCCAAGATTAATAAGAAACTCAGTCACCCTGAGTCTTGATAAGTCGGTTCGCGACTGAACAACTGTTTTATAGAAACAAAAATATTTCTCTACCCTTCATCCCTATAGGGTTCAGGTCGTCAACCGCAATCATTGACTCGCCTGTAATTCTTCAGCAGAATTCAATAAAAGCTAAAGAGCTTTGTTGTTCCCTCCCCTTTTGGCGTACGCCTTCAGGTCCGTCGCGACCATCAGAAACTCTTTTCACTGCACCCGAGCTCAAACAGAGCAAATTCGACGTCATCAGACAACAAAAGCAGCCGGCCATTCTAGCGGTAAAAAATAGTTCGTTCCGGCCGTGTCTACCTGCTGATCTGGGTTCAGCCTGACAGACCCAGAGAAGCTTTCGATGATTGTCGAATAGCAGGACCTAACTGGCAACGAATTCCTTTATGAGATGATTGCACATAAATATGTCAGTTTTAGTATCCAGCCATGATTTAGACTGCTCGGCATTCGCCTCCCATTGTTCAGTTTGTGCGTATATAAGCATTATATACATACTCTCCCTTCCACACACAAAAACACCCAGAGGATAACACATGCAACGAAACGTATAGGAGACGCACACGGGTATTCATACCAATACTGGTAGGTCAGCAGGACATTCCTACAGTGGCCGAGTGACCGCGACCAGCTGACCGCCGACTAATGTTTTGCGGCGGCATCAATTTTTTCAGACCGAATATTGTTGCTTGCGTGATCCGAGCGGCAGTGATGCCCAAAGACGTTACTCGACCCAACAACGGGCTCGTCGACCTCCATTGAGAGGAATTTCGTGTCCGATGGCGCCACTCCGCGAGCAGCTATCAATCGGAACAGGTCGTCACGACAAGTACGTACGACCATGAACATCGTTTCTCATTTATTGGTGAAGCGTGTCGGCGCGCACACAGCAGAAATTCACAGCAGCGGAATGAAGTTCAGCGACAGGATCAGCTGTGGAAGCTGCAGTGGCGGCGGTGGCGGCGACGTCGTTAATATTGGCATTGGTGGAAGGGGATCGTGGTGATGACTAACGATTAAAGCAACGGCCAAGCGAGGCAGGCCACTGCTATCAAATCAACAGCGTTAACTATCACTGCCCTGGCTTATTACCACCGCCTCATTGTAAAAGCTCGTCGGCTCTGGATCATCAGGACTGTTCAAGTTAGGGCTATGGGATCGTTGACAAAAGATGCAATAGCTGGCAATGGTACTGATCAGCATCGCCATGAGGGACGATGATTTCGGGGCAGTCAAGCCCTAAGTACGAGCGTGAAACGGGAAGCCCGTTCGTTATACTGTTACATCACAATATGGTTGTTCAGTGAACGGCAAATAGCTACGGCGGTCATAGCAGCATCGGTAGCAGCTGCTTGTTTCTTTCCCCTTTTCGTCACCAGGGGTAAAGCCAAGCAAGAATCGAGAGAAGTGCGGGTCGCGTTTGACGTCGGCGAGCGCTGCCCGGTTGTCTTTGGCTATGCGTATGTATGGCTGCACATGTTTGTCTACTTGTGGTGTTGGCGAGCTGCATTGCCAGTGTGTACGTGTATGTGCTAATGACTGATAGCAACGCACGTCAATTAGAGCACTGGCAGAGTGAAACCCATGCGTTCGTTGCTTCGTCAAAGTGCGCGACTGACTGAACTAATGACAGTGTAAAAAGGCAGTCTAGCTTTATGCTGCGGTTGGCAGTTGGCACTGTGGCGCCGACACCGGTTACACAGATACACGGAAACGCACGCAGTGCGGGTCCTTCGGACAGGTAGCTACACAGAGGGTACACGGACAAACAAATGGCAATTGGGTGCGCTTACCCATCCAGTACCCAACCCAGCGAGGGAAGCAACCGGCCGGCGGACAACCCAGTAACCGAAATTTGAGCAAGAGACTCGGGTATGCAACAGCAGAAGCTGAGCCAGCATTCAAAGCATAAATGCTGCGATTCGATTAACGGTGGGCTTGATCAGTACTTGCCAATAGCTGCAGCGGCTGGTGAAGCACAATCTGTTTGTGGTAGTCGTCGTCACTGAAAGCGCTCGGTGACGGTCAATCACGGTCCATTCACGCAGCGTCAGTTTTGTCCACCGGCCGCGTACCTCAGACATTTCGCATGTGTGTGTGTGTGTGTGTCTGTGCGTGTGTGTGTGTGTGTGTGCGCGTGCGCGCGCGCGTTTCAAATCTATTTAACTTCCAGCTTGACCACAAGCCAACAAGATTTTTCTACATTACCCATCATTCAAAGGAGTGGTTACATTAAAAACGTGTGGGTCACCATATCTGAACTCAACTAATCTCACCGGAATAATTGTGTACAATTGGCGTCGTCGTTCTGCTTAAGGGAATTACTCAGTTTGAGAGAAACTTTTAAGTAAGTGAGAACGAGATGCAGGATCAAAACATGACGGATCGCGATCAGCAACAATCCCGACAGGACACACATTTTGTTTACTGGAGGTCTAACTGCCATCAACAGTAAGTAGCTTAGCAAGGCCGATAACACATTGCAATAATGAGAAAAGTGATTAATTCACAGAAAAGTACAGCTGCTTATATAGCAGACAGTAGCGAGAGGGGTCTTTTTGAACAGCGGTAAATTATTGTTTTCTAGTATTGTCGACGCTCCTCTCACGGATGATTACAAATGCGTCTTGTCAATTCGGCTCTCAAAACCATCAACGTATTAGTAACATCTCTAAGCAAAGTTGACGACGATAGAAACTTATGACTCTTTGCGACTGAACCGATCTTGAAAACCATCCTTCTTTTAGATAGTTTGTATCTGATTTTCAACTACAATACTCATACTTGTTGGCATATTAGAGATACAAACCACTAATGATCACCAATCAGATCGCTTTTAGTTTCGGTCACCTGATAAACGGAACTGAGTACTGCAAATTCGAGTCGAGCTAACGGAAAGTCTTCGACCGTCTCCAGTAGAATCTCCAAATGAGACAAGGTAGCTCTACAGCCGCAACTGAATAAATATCTACACTTATAATGAAGTCGTAATTACAAGACGAATAGCGTATACGCATGCGTAAAAAAGTCTCACCGCCAGTTTTGTACTGTCTTTCTTCATTTTTCGCTAAAGCTATTAAATGTACGATACAAATGAGTTGAACTTTTCACTTTGGCTCAAATAACAGACTTTTCCAGAGTGCAAACATTGATACACTTCCATTATATCAGCCCTCCCCTCTTCACGTGGGTAACATATTTCCCTTCTAATCTTGGGGACACGCGAGTTGTGGTCTGGACTTCAACCCGGCCGTAGATGGGCTTCGTTTTGTGTTGGGAGCCATGAAATCCCTAACGGCGGTATTGGACGTAAGGCTCGAAACGTAGAGGCAGGCGTCTTAGCTGATTCCGTTACGGCTTCTGCTACTGTTCTTGCAACCGCTAAAAAGTCGGGGTCCGATGCACTGAGCATACTGGTTTTTATTGCTGTTGCTTCGGCTACAACACGTATAAGATATGGTCGGGGCTAATGTCACGTCGCTGTTTTTCGTTCCCACAATCTCGATCGGTCCTGTTCAGCTTTATACAGGCTTGCTGTTTCCGCAATCGCACTGCCGACTTCCTCGAGCATTACGCCCTTGGGAGAGAATCTCAACCTTCAAGCAATCCCGATTAAACATTTCTATCGTTTCACCCAACGAACACAAGGTTGTAAAAAGAGCGGTCATCGTTGATCTATCGTCAAATGTGCCTGCACGCAAATGCAGCAGCATCTAGACGGCATTGTCCTAAACATTTTTCGCAACCTCGTCGTAGTAGTATTATTAGATGGTCGCGCAGTGGTACGTTGACAACTACGTTACATTGTTTTTGGCCATCACGAGATCTCCAATGCTTCGCAAAAGCTCCAGTAAGCTGAAACGATCTGCCACGGCCTTCCCGTAAATGCGTTTCAACGAGTCGGCCGTAAACTAATGGCACTTTTGGAAAACTTAACAGGTTGACATCTTTTGACGTTCAAGTAATCAAGGCTAGAGAGACAGCTAGCTCTGCAAGAGGCTCAGGATCACACTCGTTAATGAACGAATGAACCTACGACGAACTAGACCTTCTTGGCGACCTGCAATATAGACAGCACCGCTTTAACGATACAACGCATTTTACCTTAAATGCGATGAATTCGTATTGAGCTAGAATGTTATAGAGGCACAATAGGAATACAAGTTAACTAACTAATGATTATTTTCACACTTATGCCAATGAATCCCTATTGTGGAAAAAAGCCTTAGTGTTTAGTATAAATAGCGCCATTTCAACCTGAGGGT